TCAACTCACTTTTTGGCAGCATCTCCAAATGAATGCCAATGTACCAACTGGATGTTTAAATCGTTTTCTTACAAATGCGCCAAACCAACTGAAGTGTAGTGTTCACTGCGCGTTTCGGTTTCCCCCAAGTAGCCACAGAAATAATTTATTTACAAATAAGGAGAATTATTTAAACTAGGGTGTTTGTTAATCTGAGCTAAACGTTTAGATTCCCAATATGTGCTCAGCTTAGTCTTTGGAGCTGGTCAGACTGGCTGTGTGAAGTCACGGGACTCTCTTGCTTGAGAGGACTTCAGTGGGAACGTCTGTTGGTAACGCGATGCTTAATCGTTCATTTAGCAGGCAGTAAATACTGAGCATTTGTACATGTAGGAGGCAGCACTTTTCAAACACAGCCCATCTATTCTAATCAATAAAAACTGATTTTAGGAAGTCACCAACCGTTTCTGGCAGAGGTACCTCCAGCTGCGTCCCAGCAGGAGCCATTACAGCAAGAAGAGTGTCTCGACTGAAGGCATTGCAGATGTCTTCATGCGTGACAAATTTATAAGTGGAGAGGTGTTAAGTAAACAGAAGCAGGATTACTTATGGGAGGAAAATAGAGACAATAAACTAGAAAAACCAGACTGTGAGCTTTGTGCACGTCAGGATTAGCCTAACTGTGAATTCACAAGAGACGGACAATAGCAAATATCTTGACAATCCTCCGTTTATAAAATGTTCTTAAAAAGCAAACTATGGTAAAACAGATCAAGTAAAAGTGTGTTTTCCTCTCAAATGAATAAATGTGGCCTCAGGAGGGCTAGCTTTGGGAACTACAGAGAGACACACATATTCAAGATCACAAAGAAAAAGTCTAATTTACACTTAATATGTTCAGTCCAATCGTAAGGTGCATTTTAGAGTAACTGATGTAAATACATGTACAAGCAAAGAAACTTCCAGATGGCATAAAAGGATATGTGCTGGTGATGGGATCGTGGTTGAGATGTGTCATGTTCTCCTCGAGCCATGCCTTCTGGAGGTCCAGCTCTTTCTCTTGGGCCTCCAGCTCAGAGATTTGGGCCTTCAAAACCTTCAGCTGCTCCAACACCTCCTGAGTTTGGCTGCCTGAGTTCTCTCCCCTGGATGTAGAGAAGAAATCATGTGGTAGCACAGCACAAGCACAGCAACGAGTCATATGTTAGTGATGGTTTTCTCCATATATTAAGGCTTGAGTGGCTTGGACTGTGAGCCGTAGGGTCGCTGGTTCAAGTCCCCGAACAGACCTAAATATGGAATGTGGACTGCTACTTGGAGAGGTCCCAGTTCACCTCCTGCCCTGCCGTGGTGCCCTTGAGCAAGGCACCGGACACCCCCCCCTCACTCTCATTGCTCCCCGGGCGCTGTGCAATAGCTGCCCACTGCTCCTAGTACTAGACTCCTGGTACTAGGATGGGTTAAATGCAGAGAACACATTTCACTGTGTGCTCTGCATGTGTGACCATTAAAGAGGGTTCAATCCCTCCCATTCTAATCTTATAATTAGATTTGCTTTCTAAAAACACGGATGTCAATGTAATGCCTAAAGGTGGAAGATGATACTTTTCATGCACAGTAGCATAGAAGTGCAATAAAATGTTTCACTTTGACAACATTCATTTATGAAAACATATCGAAGGCAATTGCTTATCAGTAAGAAAGTGAATATTTGACAGATTTGAACATAAAAAATAGTTTTTTCAAACCTCCACTGGATTATGTTCTTGTTTTTCTTCTCAATCAACCCGACTCCTTCCAGTACGTTGGTAATGTCATATATCCTCCTCTTCTGTTTCACTGCCAAGCTGTCTGCAGCCTGTCAATTCAGACATTTCAATAAAGAGTCTTACAGAGTGGCAGCTTAATATTGTTGACAAGATACATCACAGATACATTTACCAGGCTTTAACAGGACACCCACAATCTGGGTGGTAAACATGTATTGATTTGAAAAGAGAGAGACTCAAACAACGGCGGCAAATGAATGATTTGGCAAATTAAGCTGCACAAACAGAAATAAAACCACTTGGCAGAAGAGGACAGTTATACAATAGCAGAGGAGGAAGGAGGAGGGAAAGGGTCTGAGGAGCCCGCTGTGTAAACATTACACAGCTTTGGCGCGCAAGAAGGAGGGAAAACTACCTATTTGTGTGATGATAAGAAAGTAGATATGTGGAAGATACTTCAGTGGGGTCTCGCAAAGATTCATCCACAAGGCCTATCACAAACTTTATGTTTTAGTGGAAGGGTTTTCTAGCTGATAGCAGACTGCCATGAGAAAACCGAACATTTTAAGAGATGTTAGGAAGGATACTTTCAGAACAATATGTAACTGCAACTACTGTATCAATTTTTCTCCACCTCAATTAATCTTCTGATCATCTTTCCAATTACTGTTTAGTGTATAAACTGGTTTCTTTGAGTGCAAGGCGACAAACATACATTTACTAATGTCACATGCTGTATCAGATTTGTACATTCAAAGAGAACAAAAAAGGTTGAGTTTTAAGGTGTTCCAAAAACTTTGGGAACCAGTTCAGACTTGTGTCCAACTGTTGTCTGTGACACCAAAGATGGTGTAATCTAACATTAGAGTCAAAGTCAAAAGCTGTTATTTTCAGTAGAGTTGGATTAAAAATAAGCAAAAAGACATTTCATACTGATTAGATTAGACTTATTCCATTCAGGTTATACTAAAAGAGGATCCATATTAAATGTAGTTAAATGGATATGCCTACTTCAGAGGGGAGATTTAAGCAGTGGTGGAAGAAGTACTCAGATCTTATACTTAGGTAGAAGTACTAATACTGCAGTGTATACATACTCAGTTGCAAGTAAAAGTCCTGCATTCAAAATGTTACTTAAGTAAATGTACAAAAGTTATGCAGCCAAAAATACTTAAGTGCCAAAAGTAAAAGTACTCATTATCCAAAGTGGGCTTTTTCCGAATAATACATATATTATCACGGGTTTATAATAAGTGATGCATTAATGACTTTCTGTACTGCCAGGTATATCCATCCATAATAGTACATCAAAGTGTATTAGGTCATTTAACTTTTGTATTAATATAATAAACTTGCTAAAGTAACTCGTAACTAATGTTGTGAAAAATGTGTAATTATTAAACATTAAAAGATTTATTTCCAAAATGTAGTGGAGTATTAGTATAAAGTAGCATAAAATGAAAATACTCAAGTAAAGTAGTACAAGTACCTCAAACATGTACCTAAGTACTTGAATAAATGCACTTAGTTACTTTACACCACTGAATGACACATTAAAGTATTACAAAAAATGAATTAAAATTAGCACAAAATACACATTTAAGACTCAATTCAAAAGAGGATCTATATTTAAATATAGTTTAATGAGACTGCCTCCCGATTTAAAGTTGGTTTTCTTTGAAGTTAGATATAAGTCATCCGAGAAATAAATAATATTCAGACCCCTAGCCCTACTTTAACTTAAAAAGTGACAGTATTAAGATGGTTTATCTTAATAAACGTTAATAATGTAACTCCAAACTAGCTTCACAGAAACCCTATGTAAACAGTTGTTCCTGCGTGTGAGTTGGTGTTACTGAACCCACCAACAAGGAGCTAATGGCGGCTAGCCAGACCACCTGTTAAGTAAATCAATGCACCTGACCAGCCCCGTTTGTGACTGACAGCCCTTTGTTCCCAGGTGGCACACGGGTTAGTCCCCCCGAAAACCACAGAGAAACAGCCACCTTGAGCCTGCTCTCCTCTCCGTTTCACTGACCACTTTCAAATCCAGCACGCCATCCTTCGCTTCTTGAAGCAGACTGACAAACTTCATCGTGAGGAGCCCCAAACTTTTCTCGTGGCGACTCGGTGTCGAGCGAACAGTCTCCGTCACCTCTAACTCCATCTTCCTTCTGTAAAATACTTCGTTTTAAAGTCAAGCGTCTATTTTTTAACTACCAATAACAACCATTTCTGTCCAAAAAAGCGTCTGTTAAAATAAACTCGACTGGTCGACGGCTGGCCAGTACCTGTTGGATTTTTAAATCAACGGACGTTACGTTAGGCTACTGTTGCCATGGCAACCGCTGTCCTGCTCGCGACTCGCAACACCCCTCCTCGACCAGAAATTGGCCCAACCCCCTCCGACCAATCAATCCTCATCAATGTGTATGGACGCCGAGAAGAGTCAAAAATAAATAATAAAGTAAAGCCAGACATACTAACGCATGGTTAAGTATCTCGTACTTCTTACACTGCAACTTCCATTAAATTTGACACAAGCTGACTTTCAGAACACAAAAGCTATCATTCACAGCATATATAACTTGAGTACATTTTAACCTAAAGTTTAGTGTGTTCTCCTGTATGCTTACTGGACTGTTAAAGGGTTTTGCTTTTTATAGATTTATTGTATACACATCTGTAACTTCAACAAAGTAAACCCAGATAAATATGTCCATTCTTAATACTCACACTTTAATTACACACCCTTACCATGATTACAATTCAGGGTTTCTCTAGGTTTGCAATTAGCTGTATATCTATTTAGTTTAATGTAAGTGCACAACACAACAACATAGATTACGTAGTACTAGCGGAAATGTTCTTTAATAAAAAGAAAGAATATACTCAAGAAAGAATTTATTAGATAAATCATGATATACTAAAATACATAAATAACTTAACATAAAAAACACGTGTTTAAATTCAAAAGCTGCCATGGCGGTAAAGAGGTCACATGTCATGTGTTAAAAGTCTTTAAGTACACTTGTGAGACGTTTCATTTTCTCTTCCATAATTCTTTTGGTGGTTTCCGTCTCTTCCAGGAGCTGACGCATCTCCTCCTCTACATCATATACCTGAGGAGGACACAGATATACAACTTTTCTTAAATTGTTCAACATGAGGTTCTCATACAAACTATCCTACTGTCTATATTTTACCTTCTGATTGGCTTGTTCAATCTTCTTCTGCTTATCATTTGCAAGTCGTAGCAGCTCAGCTTGATGAGAGGCTTGACCAGACTCTAGCTGTCGACGAAATGCATCATCCACACAGTGTAATTTATCTACTGCAGCTCTGCAAGACAGACAACAGATAAAACATGTTACAAAAGGAACTAAGAGGATGTTGTCCTAACTGCCTTGTCAGGATATTTTAGGATGGACGGTACCAGAAAAGAAACACTGACAAACAAACATATGTTTTATTTTAAATGACATAAGTTACATGCTCTTTATCAAAGGCACTAAGACACCCTGATCATAATTTCACTTTATGCCTAACATGTAAATACAATGAATAGTCTTCAGAGTTCTCTATCTTTGGGTTTTAGGAGAATGATGGAAGAGCCATGTATTTAAGAAATACTGCTAACCGGCCCAGAAATGTCCAAGTGAGATAAAGTATGGTCCTTTAAGGCAGGGGTATCAAACTACATTTCATCGCGGACCACATCAGTATTATGGTTGCACTCAAAGGGCCGGTTGTAACTATATAAATATACATATATAAATATATAATATCCATAAAATAATGTATTATATTACATTATTGCCTCTGCATTGGATCACTATCGGATAGGGTAATAACTTCATGATTAACTACGTCTGAAAGTTTTATTTATTTTTATTTAACCTTTATTTAACCAGATAAAAAGCATTGAGATAAAATCTCATTTACAATGCTGACCTGGCCAAGAAGGCAGCAACGTTGAAAGCAGAAGTCCAGGGCAAATAATTGCAAGTCTCTTCAGTGTGCATGTCACAAAATGAGATGCATTGTGGGACATGTAGTTTATGGGCAACCTGCTTCTGTAAAGTGGCATGTGACCATATAATAAACTTATTATATTCTTTGCAAGCCCTTGCGGGGCCACATAAAATGAAGTTGCGAGCCGGATTTGGCCCCCGGGCCTTGAGTTTGACACCCCTGCTTTAAGGCTTTAGATGAAAGCAATTAAACTGCTTTCTTGACAGTGTTAAACTGCCTCTCCTCCAGGATTAAAGAAAGCAGAATGGCTGTCCTTACCTGTCCACAGCAGGTGGATTGGACCAACATGTGCACATCATACATATGGAAATACAGAGTCAAAACTGTATTATAAGTTTTGACTGCTTTTAAAATTATTCTTGTGACTGATTTCATGCAGGCTAATGGTATTTCTACAAAAGAGATGCAAATACAGCTAAAATAAGCTCATTTGATCAAATATAATGAACTTTTACTTGATAAATACACGTCATATTTCTCTCATGTAATCGATCATACTTTTGTGCTTCGATTGCTCTATCTCTTTCTTCCAGCAGCAAGCGTTCCTTGGAATCAAAGCTCTCCTTCATGCTCTTCACCTGGCTCTCCAACCGAGTCAGCAGGTCGGCCTTCGCCTGCCACTTCTTACTGGAATCACTAATAAAAGAATAGATACACATATATCCATGTCAGTATATTGTACATAAAGTGTCTTAATATGTGCGTGATGGGATGCTTGCCTGTAAACTCTTTTGATCTCCTCAAGCTTTGCGTCCTTGTCCTCCAGCTGCTGTTTGAGCTCCTCCTTGCGCAGGCTCAAATGCTCGATCCGCTCCTTCAGCTCCGCCTGCTCAGATGTCTCCTCCTCCAGCTGCTTCTGGAACCTCTTCTGGGCCTGGACCGCCTCATCGCGCAGCCTGCGGGTCTGATCATCGCGCTCCTGCAGAGACTAGATAGCAGGAAGGCAGAGGAGGAAGAGAAAGGGCTTAAGCGTGTCTCAAGAAAACAAATACGGCAGATAAGTTTACACAAATGCACACACAAGCTCACGTCTATGGATGTTCCAGGTTCTCATGTGATGGACCAAGGTTTTGGTTTTAGAACAACTCAGTGATTTCAATATTAAAAGTACCTCTTTGAGTCTGCGGATGGTCTCTGTCTGGTCATCAATGATTTTGGTTTTGATTTTTAGGGCATCAGTGTCTCTCTCGTTCAGTTTCTTCTGACTCTCCAGCTCAGCGCCCAGCACCTCTAACCTGGCCTCCAGGCGTCCACGATCCTGAGACAAGGATGCTCCTAGTATAGAGAAACACATACAATTGTAAATCAGATCTCATCTATAAAACTTTACTTTAACATCTATTATCATTATGTATCTTTTAGATCCCTTTTCTTTTCCTTATTTGAGTGCATTTTATTGCCTATATGAAGAATTATTTTCCGTCGTAGCATTTTCTACAGTGTACATTTACCATGCCCTGCCTGAGTGTGTTTCTCCCACAGAACCACTAGATGACAGACTTTACTTGATACAGATGAAATAAAACATCAGCACATGTAGTATTTAACCAAACAGCTCAAATGTCCTTCATACTGACTCTTAAGTTAACATTTAGGAGTGACTCACTCTGCCTATGACCAATTGGAGAGAGTTGGACTCAAGTGACCTGTACTCATGTTTGAATGTGTGCCATGCACTATAAGGCTCATTCAGAGTCACCATCATGTGCTGGACGTCTCCCACCTTGCTGAGCGAGCTCCTGGCCCCAGATCCTCCTCTCGGCTCTGAGGCCGTCGATCACAGACTCCTGAGCTGTGAGCTGAGACAACAGTCGTCCCTTGTCTTTCTTAAGCAGCTCGAGCTGCAGGCTGAGACGCCGGTCCTGCTCTGCCTCTGCTTCTAAGGAATGCAGACGGCTCTGGCAGAGGGACGGACAGAGACGGACAGTATTAATGATCAACGGCCATCTGTCATGGCTGACAGATGGAAAGGCAGCTGGACGCTCCAGTGTTCATGCTGAAGGCTCCTGAGGGCTCAGGCTGGACAATCTGTGGCCAGGCAATGACTGATGACCATAACAGGACATCTCTGTTTTAAATGATTTATTTCTGAAAAACCTGATCAGATAATGAATTTCCTTTTTTAACATTAATATACTTTCTTACAGTCAGAAATATAACAAACAACAAATTCAAATATTAGCAAAAAACAGAAACAAAAAAGGTCATGGTTATATGTGTTCATTATTGAAGAAGGGTGTATACAAATATCTTGAGATTTATATATCAGTTAGTCCACTAGCATGTGCACTGTGTCATAAATCATCCATTTGTTCAATTTCACTAAAACAACTTTCTCTCTCACTAAATGCTTTTTCCCATTGTATAAATCTCTCTATATCATTTATTTGCTATATATTGGCTCATTCAGTCTTATATTAATTTATTCTCATTGTGTTCTTACTTGTAAACATTACTATGTTGATCAAATATCGATCATTATCAGGGACATTTATAACTTCAAGGTACCTGATGCTGCATTCCATAGGTAATGCATATCCCAGAATACCTTGTGAAATGTGCATTTTACCCATAATGAGTATTATTGATGATATTTTGGTTTACTTCTCTATTACTACATATCACATCAACATGATTGTTGTTGACCAGTGTTTTTAACGATGTATATAAGGTGTAATGAAGTAGTAGGTTAGATGATCCTTTTCTTATCCCCGGATGTATCTGTCTGTATCTTTACTTCAGCGCAGTACCTTCAGAGCAGTGACAGCTTCTCTCTTGGCTTTGATGAGATCAGTGATGCGGTTCTTCTGTTCTTTGACCATGGCTGTGAGCTCCTGCACCAGAGAGGCTGATTTCTTCTCCCTCTGCTGGGACTGGGCCAGGGTCGCCTTGAGCCCCAGCAGCTCTGCAGTCATCTGATCACAAGCGTCCTTTACCTGCAGAAGCAGAGCAGGGAAGGGGGACAGAATGTGAGTGAGAAGTCTAGGAGTTCAACAGATTGAAGCATTACCTGACTCTACATTTGTTTCAATCAATACCACATTCGGACAGAAAAGGTTCTTTAAAGAAAGCTATTTCGTTTTTAAAGTAGGAGTTTACATTTAGCTGGCAATCTGTATCTCATTCAGACTTTTCTAAAGGTCAAATATAGTACACTTTAAGATCAGATTTTCTGCAGAATGTATGAATGATACCTGTAACCATAACGAGAACATTGATTAATATCCAATCCTTTTGTACAGCTTTCTCCCTTTGGCAATCACAGTCTACTTGTCCAGATTCACATGACCCTAATTCAATCTCAGCTTTCATCATTGGGCTGAAATTCCAGGGGGTCAATTCCAGTTCAGTCATTTTACTTTTACTAGACCCAGTAATCATTGATCAGCTAAGTCTGTATTTTGGCAGACCTCAGAGAAGCGACCAGCCTCGATGGTCAGCGCCATGCGAAACTCGTCCTCCAGAGCTGCGTACAGTTTCCTCCCCTCTTCTAGTTTCCCCTGCAGCTCCAGCACCCTGTGGCCATGCCTCTCTTCCACTGGTGCAACCTCTTTAGCCACCGCCTCTCGGAAATCTGCCCCGCCGGGCTGCAACCGCAAATCCAGTTGTTTTCTGTGAGAAAACGTGAAAAAGGATTGTACAGTTGATAAGACCTCTTTTTATAAAGGTTAGGAGGGCCTTAAGACAAACAGGAAAGCCTGCACTTTGAAATGTGTGTAATTTAAATTGTGTACGTAAAATAAATGTAATAATATTCTGAAATACAGAAGGTTGAGCACTCAACAATTTGGAAAGAGAAAAGTTTCAATGATCAACTGACATGTGCCGACACTCTTGGCGTTAGGTGTATATCCACTGACTAATATTTAAATGTGTTGTTATTAAAAATCTTTCATTTAGGTTTAACACATTTCTTTAGTACCGTTATTAAAACAAACCCTCTTTAATACCCCAACAACTTGATTCTTAAAGGATAAATTCACTGTTTCCAAGTCTATTATACAAAACACTGTTCTTTTATGGTAAAACTATTTGTACTCAAAAGGCTGTAAATTTGAAAGATGTCCTTTTGATTTGTCTCGTTAAATATTCATGTTAAAATTGAAAAGGCATTTTATTGAAACGCAGATTTGTATATTGGCAGGAAATGTGGTATTCATACACTTACAGGAAGAAGTTGATTAAGAATATTGATTTTCATCCCATAACACTGTTGATATTAAGCAACACATGACCCCGTCCATGTGTTTCAGAGTAAGGTCCTCCAGGTGTACCTGTGCTCCTGCTCCCTGGCCGCCAGCAGCTCATGCAGCTGCTGCAGTTTGTCTTTGTGCTGACGCACTGCCGCTCTCAGGATGTCCGACTCTCTCTTCAGAGCTCCTGCCTTGTTCTCCAGCTCCTGGTGCCGCTTCATCTGAGGAGGGTCAGCAAGTTTTAAATCAATGCTGTCAGAGCTCTACTGAAGCCTTACTCTTACTATTGAGTGATCACAGATCAGAGGGAGTTACCGTAGTAACCATGTTCAGGGATAGGGAACAGAAATAGCATGATATCACAAACCTGCCAGCTCAAAGCACAATTTGACAGTCAAGTACTATTTAAAACTTAGCCAAGACTGTAACCGCAACAACAGATATAATTAGTATTTTGAATGCTTCAGAGAACTACAACAAGGGTTTTGTGTGCTGTTTTGTTTGTTTCATGTATCTATGACATTTTGGGGTGTTGTCATGGCGATTTTTTTTATATAAAAAATTGTTATTTTTAAGTGAGTAAAGTATTATTGTACGTCGAGGTACTGCTGTTTGAAATGTAGCCATAAACAATGTACAGTATATTGGACTCTGCACCTGCAACAGCCAATGCTCCACTCTGCTTGCTCCAGAGTGAATTTGCACTATACTGTAAGTTTCAATAGTTTGGGGGTTTCTTCGACCCACTTCCTGTACCTCCTCAGCCTGCTGGCGAGCCCTGAGAGCGTCTCCCTGGGAGATGCTCTCCTCCAGTCTGCGCAGTGCAGTCTTGTGCTGCTCTTCACTGCTGCGGGCCTGCTCCAGCTGCCGGCTCTGGGACTGACTCCTCCCCTCCAGCTCCTCCACCCGAGCCTGCAGTTCAGATCGCCCCGATCGCTCCTTCAGCAACAATTCTTTCAGTCTATTCGGGGAGAAAACAAGACAAGAGTGTACAAAAGCAGCAGGTGAACTATGTTTTTACTGCATATAGAGACTGATATAGGCAACCGCACAATGTTGTGATGCGCTTGATTGTCCCTAGTGTTTTATCGCCTGCTGTTAAAATGTGATAGCCTCTGAAATTGAAGAAATCTGCCAGAACAGCATAGTCAAAAATGTTAGGGAGAGAAAACTGAAAAATAGTGTAAATGAGAAAAGAAAGAAATATAAATACAAAAGGGCAGTCTGTTGAAAAGGAAAAAGAATGGAGAGAACTAGCTTGGCTTAGTATTCAGGACACCTATGAAGACTGCACAAGCACCTACAGTTGCTCCGTCTTTAAATTAGCCTTGATGAGTCATTTCACTGTAATCTGTCTCCTGATGAGAAAGGGAGTAAACAGTATCAGGCGTGTTCACTGTCATTACAAAGTGACAGTGAAGATTGATTCATGTAATAGAGCTGACATACGCTTGTCAACAGGCCTCTAATTACAACCATAAAGCAGATTTATCTAGGCAGGGTGGGACGCAAGCAAGAACAGTGCATAGAATAGTTACACCAGGCTCTCACATGTAGGAGTTTTCATTATAGATACAGGGTTCATACACTTTTTCACCGATGATTTTCAATGACTTCTCCATGACCTTTACCTAATTTTCCAAGACCAAAAAAATTACTCTTTCTCAGCGGTACCAATGAAAATTGTTTATTTTAACATGGAACAGGAAAAGCTTCAGGCTAAAGCAACTGTAGACTAGAGGGCGTGATTGTAAAAATCTCTCACCAGCAAAATACCTCGACAGTTGAATGCCATTACGTTTCATTACTATACGATACAGTATGTATTATCATTATAGTATTACTATTTTGGAGATTAGCTAAAATATAAATTATATTTGATGCAACTTTAGTTACATTTCCATGACTTTTCCAAAACTTTGAGAAAAATATTCTTTTCCATAACTTTTCCAGGGCCTGGAATTTGCATTTTGAATTTCCATGACTTTTCCAGGTTTTTAATGACCATAAGAACCCTATAGATAACTGTACCTTCTGGAATGTAAGTATATCTAGGTGGGGAAAGGATCTTTATTCTCAATAGCTTCATTGTTGCAGACACCTGCAGGCATACTAAGGAATAGCAGGGAGTACCAAAGCATTGTACTGCTGCAGTGCTGTTTAAGCAACCTAAAGTCCAACCTTAAAAAAATCTATATCCGTTGCAGTTTATGCTAAATGTAGAATATTTTGACCACAGTTCTTTCTGATGCGTACTGAAGCTGTTATCTATGCTCTCTACAAAGAAACCAGACTCCTTCGACAAAAACAGTCATTACTACTAGCACAAAACGAGTTGGCTTGTCTATCACTCAATCAGTTATTCTGGTACGCCCAGGAGGTAATGTTTTTGTCTTAGTTTGTCTTCATCAGTAAAACCTTTAACCTGATTTTCCTGAAACTTGGAAGAAGGGTATAGACTGGGCCACGGAAGATCCTATTTCATTTTAAGAGCAGGGCTTATTCAAGGAGCGAATACAGAAAATTCCCTTTTGTTAACATTGGAAAATAGGGCAAAGGTTTTAAAAAGGGTGAGGCGGGCCTCCAGGGGGCTTCAACCAGCTTCAAGTGGGGCCTATTAAATGGATTCGAAGTTCTAACATTGATTTTCAAAAGAAAGATCACATAAAATAGCTTAAACGCGTTTGGTCTGACAAAAAGGTGAAAAGGGTACATTTTATAAATAATGAACCCTTAAACTGATAGTGAACTGAGATGTCTCTTTAGGTGGCTAACATAGATTTTGCTGCAGTGCTTAGTTCCTGTGCTGGTACGGTCTGGTTCTCCGAATGATTGCTGTGATGATTACCTTCTACCTTAGGAAATATGGTTAAGTACCTCATTCAACTTCAAAACATCTAAACTATCCCTTTAAGATTTTGGAATAATGGAGTGCAAAGTGTTTGCTTGATTTCGTAAGAAGCTACGGGACAATGAGAGAGAGGATATTAAGTGGCGGGATGGATACTCATTGTTCAAGAATGAGACAGGCAGCGGGCATTGGTCTCAGGAGAGACAATAGAAAAGATGAAGAGGGCGGAAATAGATGAGAATCCATTATGCGTGACAACTCAAATCCACAGAGACACGTTTAATTATCCCTTTTCATCATGATATCTGCTTTAGAGCTGCTGCACCGTTTGTTTGCAAACATCTGTGCGTCCATCCAGTTTCCCTCTTACCTGTCCGTGGTGTGCAGGGCCATGCTCTGCAGGTCTTTTTCCTCGCTGACTTTTGTCTGCAGGCACTTTAGATCCTCGGTGAGTTTCCTCGCAGCCTGCTCAGCCTTCCAACGCCTCTCCCTTTCCTGGTCACGCTCTTCCACAATAGTCTGACCAATGGACATAAACAAAAACACACATGGGTTCAATTCAGAGGTCAAATTTCATGCATTTGTGCGGTTTGCATATATGTGTGATAGGGCTGCACGATTTGGGAAAATAATCTAATTGCGATTTTTCTGACAGATATTGTGATTCGATTTGCGATATTTGTTTTTAAGCGACCCAACGGAAGTTTATTGTAAAATGCGACCATATCTCCAGCTAGAAAGGTCGTATCAACGTGCACCCCCGCAGCCAGAGCTACGAGTGAAAGAACTAAACTTACATGAAACTTCCGTTGGGTTGCTTTAAAGTCAAGCTTCAGTTTAAGATTCACCCTGTAACAGAAACATGTGATGGAGCATTACTAACCTGACTCAGATGGTTCACCAAACCATCGAGGAAAGCTCCATTGGAAGCCATTTGGAAAAGGGCAGGCACTTTCAAAAATACTTGGCAGGTGATTGGATCAATCTGTCTATCACCTTCTATCATGAGCCACTTCTGATTGGTTAACAATGGCTGGTACATGTGGAGCACAGCACTTCTGATTGGTGTGGATGACTGACACACAAGAAGAAAATAATAATTGATAATGATTTGATAATCGATTAATCGTTCAGCCCTAATGTGTGACAATTAAAGAGGGTTTCATCCCTTCGATTCTATATCAAGGGTATGAGCAATAAATGTCAATGTTATCAGTACGTTGCTATGGACAATACTGATAAGAAAGAAGAACTCCACTCCAAGTCTGTTTACAGGTGTACTCAAATTTATTTCAGTGATCTAGTTTTTATTTCACGCTGTTTTACTTCTACTATTACGTTTTTTATAGCTTCGAAAGCTTTCTAATTTATCTTTAATTTATTGCATGAATTGGTCTCAGTGTGTTAAATAGTTTTAGTCTTTTTGGATGTTTTCATGCTCTGTACTTTTTCTGTCTTATTTTCACTCGTCAGTCTTCTGTCGAGCACTTTGAACTGCACTTACCAGTAAGAGCGGTTTGATTGATTGAAACTACATATGTGTTTTATTAAACATCTGTAGATCGACGAGCCACAGCGGGAAATCTGATCAATTGCCTCAATTGATGTAACTTGGAGTTAAAGCATTTTTTTGATCAGATCTCTGTAGCCCACTCCTCATCTCTGCTTGAGGCTAGCATTAGCGGCTACTAGCATAACACACTAAAAAATCTGACATAACTGTTGGCGGTCAAGCTGCATTGTGGGTAATGTAGTCATCAGGTTTTAACATAAAAGTAGAATGTGTGGAAAACTGAATATGTTTGCTTACTATCTATCCTATCTATTGCATACATGGTTTGATTTTCATCCAGACAGTTGTTGGTCTCCGGGAGTTATAAGTATGCGTTAAATAATATATCATGGACGTATCCTTGGAAACACTGGGATGTGGTTTTCTAAAATGAAAAAATAGAATTACCTTTGAAAGGGCAAAAAGTTGAAGAAAGATGTTAATGTTGTTTTGTTATGTCTTTGTTTCGTTTTTTGAATCTTTTATTCTGTTCCTGAATGTGCATGTTATTGTGTAATAGCTTTCTGTCAAGAAAAGAAACCGAAAACAAGTATTCTTTCACAGCGGTGCGGGTACAAACACTCAGAGGATGTTTACATCCCTATTCTGCGAAGTCATAACCTCATTCATCCAATAAGAAATAAACTGCCTTCAGACGGCAGCATCTCCGTGCCGTACCCTGTAGGTTTCCTCCTCTTCAGTGGACTTGGTCTTCACATCGCCTGAGGCCTTCGCAGCTCTCACAGCTCCCCTCCTCATCGGCCCAGCTGCGTCTTTCCCTCCTGCCCCACCAGTCTTCCTTCTGAGACCCTCTGCAGACTTTGAACTCCTCTGTTTATGATTCTCCTGATCGCTACACATAAAACAAATCACAGATATTGTAAAATGGATTATAAAAAGCCCTCTAGCTAATGTCTGGCTCAATAAAGGTCAAAGCAGACAACCTTCTCACTTTTATAGGAAGGTAAAGTTTGAACAACTTTGAATTTAATCTGGTGATAACATTTTAAAATCACCTTGCCCTTAAGGACAGTTGGGCACTTACTTAAGTGAAATAACTGAATACTGAGCACGTGTCAGCAGCGGCTGATGAAGCAAGATGAGGGGGTAGACCATAAAAGCATGGCCGTTAATCATGGCAGTGAGATGACAGTTGTAATTTCTACCAGAGAGGAGGAAGTTTACCACAGCGCTTAGAGAAGAAAAGGTATCAGCACCATCCAGCTTAAAAAGGAAATTCTAAATCCTAAGATACCTGGTGATATGTGATACATGAATTTAATTGATTATCTTTAATCAAAGGTTATTGTCTAATAGAGCTTAAAATTAAGTTTTGATGATAAATGTAGTTAACTGAAGCAATTCATTACTTGCTATACTGAGCGAGAAAGCTGAGTTCTTGTGTTTTTGAGCACTACCTCCAGTCTACTGAGAGTAACACCTAAGGTCTTCCTTGCATCCAACTACGTCAAACGATTCTGCTGGAAGCATAAAGAACACTTTGCAGCAGGAGAACTCAGCTTTCTCACACAATACATGTATGCCCCGCACTGAAATATGTATTGTTCAATGGACTACCATAACCATGCACTGATTGGACATCAACATAAAAGTGTTCCTTTTAATAAAGAGATCTTAGTAATTCTGGGCTTTGTGTGGATGACAGTAAACCACTATTAAAGAATCAGGGAGTACATGTCAACCAGGCCACAAAACAAATGATTTTCATTACAGAGTAGTGAACCTGAAAGCTGAAACGTCTGTTTTGTAAGCAGCTGCAGAATCACCTGTCTGATCTTCGGCCCTTGGTTTCTTTGGAGGTCGTTCTTGATGTAATGCTGCTTCGATGTTTGGGGATCCTGGTGCGCCTCCTGTTTTCCCTCCCGCTGTCACACTCACTCTCTGAAGTGCGATCTGTGTCCCTCTTGGCTTTCCGTGCTGTCGCCACAGTACAGCTACTAGATTTGCCACCTGTAGGGACCTGAGTAAACATCACACAAATACTCATTATATGTGTCTGGATGAAAACAAACATCGTCTACATCAGGGGTGTCAAACTCAATTTCATCGCGGGCCACATTAGCATTATAGTTGCACTCAACGGGCCGGTTGTAACTTTAAGACTATATAAAAATACATATATACATATTTAATATATTTAAAATAATGTATTATATTACATTATTGCCTCTGCATTGGATTATTAGCGGATAGGGTAATAACTACATAATTAACTACATCTGAAAGCAGAAGTCTAGGGCAAATAATTGCAAGTCTCTTCCCTGCACATGTCACAAAAAGATTTAAAAAGAAAAGCCAAATTATGGAAAAAAAGTCAAACTCAAAAAAAGGAAGTGACATTTTGAAAAAAAAGTAACATTTTGAAAAAAATCAAATTCTAAGAAAAAAGTCTAATTTGATATGCATTGTGGGACATGTAGTTTATGGGCAACGTGCTTCTGTAAATCGGCATGTAACCATATAATAAACATATTATATTCTTTGCAAGCTCTTGTGGGGCCACAGAAAATGAAATCACGGGCCGGATTTGGCCCCCGGGCCTTGAGTTTGACACCCCTGGTCTACATGTGAAAAAAACATGTNAAAACAAGGAGGGGAGCACTTAACACATGTCTACACAGACATCCACTCAAAGTCAACAATTTTTCTGAAGAATGTGCTGACATGGGGGTTTAAATTGCTATGCCTCTTTTTGGCTTTCTAGCCCTTCTCAGGATTAATGCCCAGGAAGCACCTGAAAACACTAAGCCAAGACAACAATTTCAATTTTACATAGATTTATATGTTGCATCGTTTATTTTAAGGCACATGCAGCGGTGCCCCTCTCAATTTAAGTAAAACCTGCACCAAAGAAAGAAATTAGTATTTAAAGCCAAGCAAGAGCGATAAAAGCAAGAAAATCCCTTAATTTGTTGTGTTATCACAGAGGATGGTCTGAATACAGTATTTTACTGTGAAATAATACAGTAACATGTTGTGAAGTCCTGGTAATCATTTATCCTGTACATTCACAGTAATTAACTGTGCCTGTATTGATTTCAATGTGAAATTCTAAATTACAGTGTTATATTGTGAACATTACAGGTAAAGACTGTAAAGTGGTAAAACAGTAATTTATTGTAAAATATTACAGCTAAATATTGTGAAATCATGGTAATATTTTACAGTGCGGTCAAAAATGCTTGCCATAGGAAATGAATGGTTAACCCTAGATGATGTTCATCCATCAAATAGTACACACCCACAAATCGACTGCCATGTTGTTTTTTGGAATACATTTTCAGTGTTCTTTGTATATTCACTGCAGTTACATGTATAAACCAGTAGTCTCAGACATTGTTTAGAGCAGGGGTGTCAAACTCAATTTCATCGCGGGCCACATTAGCATTATGGTTGCACTCAACGGGCCGGTTGTAACTTTAAGACTATATAAAAATACATATATAAATATTTAATATATATAAAATAATGTATTATATTGCATAATTGCCTCTGCGTTGGATTATTATGGGATAGGGTAATAACTACATAATTAACTACGTCTGAAAGAAGAAGTCTAGGGCAAATAATTTCAAGTCTCTTCAGAGCGCATGTCACAAAATGATTTAAAAAGAAAAGCCAAATTCTGGAAAAAAGTAACATTTTGAAAAAAAGTCCAATTTGAGATGCATTGTGGGAGATGTAGTTTATGGGCAACGTGCTTCTGTAAATGGGCATGTAACCGTATAATAAACATATTATATTCTTTGCAAGCTCTTGTGGGGCCACAGACAATGAAGTCACAGGCCGGATTTGGCCCCCGGGCCTTGAGTTTGACACCCCTGGTTTAGAGCTTAAAAGAGTGGTAAATAAAACATGGTGGTAATTAATGGTTTTTGTGTTAACGGAAAAGCAGTTAAAACAGACCGGCAAAAGACACCAAAGTAAGAGGGAGAAACAAACACAACAGGAGGGTAAAAGAAATGAAGGAAATGCAGTTTTATTCCATTAATTCTCGCACCGAATGCATTTAAATCCATTGTAATTCAATATGTTTCTATTTGCAGCTTCAAATCCACTACGACAAGCAGCTTGGCAACTTGATCGTTCATGTCCTGCAGGCCAGAAACCTCGCTGCGCGGGACAACAATGGCTACTCCGACCCGTTTGTTAAAGTGTATCTCCTTCCAGGGAGAGGGTGAGTCAAGGGTTTGGAACCTGCAGTCACACCTAAAGTAGTTCAGAACAGGAACATCAGTTTAGGATATGAACGAGAAAGATGTTTTTCCTTGTGTTAATCTAGAGAGAAATGTGTAAGATGTGACATAGTCTATTTCAGTCACTGTACCTGCTAAAATAAGCCCAGTGATATACAGGCTATAAAGGCAGCCAGTTTGTAAAGCTCAAACCTAATTTCCATTCATTTTAAAATCGATTTACTATTGATTTTGGCTTACCATGACATCTTTCAATGTACAGCACATGACCTTTCTTTGGTATCAATTCCAAAACACATAAACACTGCACATCATCACATATGTTTTTATTATGTATCCAGGGATGTAATGTGATATGAACTCCTTATGATGGGACTCATCGGCCCTTGACACAAACGTTATTTCAAATATATTAGGTGTGTTCTTGAGTTGACGTCGCCCATGTTAATACGAGTTCTACTGTAGGTGTAAGTGCAGTCAAAATCAATAGCTCTCATATTTACTTGCAATACGATCCACACATCCCATAAGTCTAGGGCTCCTGTTCTCACTGTGATTGCGCTGTAATGTAATTGACTCTCCCACCTTCTCTGCTGTTCGAGCTCCCCGGAGAGAGGCTTTTTTCCTGGGATCGTTTCAGATAAAAGCAATAATGTTCAGCTGTGGGCTTTGCAGCCGCCACTCAGAAATTGCACTGTGGGTTTTAAACAGAGTAAGGATTACTTTAAAGGGACTGGTAGAGTGATACGCACAAGCTGTACATACGCCCTTCTGAGAGTGTTGTAGAAATACACACTTAGTCTCATGTGAGCCAACACTTGTGTATATGCTATATGTGTGCATACATGGACAAGATCACAGCTTTTAAGTTGCATCACAGATATCCTGGCAAAGATATGGAGCTGCTGCAATGAAACAGGTGGTTTTATAGAGGGAAATGGTTGTTTTGGCAAAAGTAATACACATTAACAGTGTCTATAAAGTTGGCATTATGGTTCTCCAGGCTGCGCGGGTCTCGTTCAAACACGTTTGCATGTGTATTTAAAACCTGTATCACGCCAGCAAACCTCAATGAAGTCAGTTAACATAGAAGTAATCATGAAATGGAATCATAGTTCACCCCTGAACAGTGTAAACAAACCACTTTATCCAAGAAAGTACATTACAATGCAGTCTGAAAGAATAAATGTGTATCCCCTTTCAATTTTACCAGGAAAGTAGTAATGTCTCCATTGTAACCGAGGTTATTAGACATGATCTAAAGTCTTTGAAAAGTAAAATACTTCAGTAGGGCAGAGACATAATTTTTCACCATACACATTTTGGATGAATACTACTTTTAACTTGACACGGTAATGTTTAGTAAACTCACACAAGATACTTTTGGCTAACAAAGTACGGAAACATAAAGTACATTTGATTTAGTTTTTACATACTAACCAACCAATCAGAATCGGTTTATTACCAAGTAGGTTTACACGAGGACTTTGCTTTGGTATGAGTGGTGCATACAAAGACACGGAAGGAAGAATACAGAGCAAAAAATAGTACTATAATAAAAGCTATTTTAGGATTATTATAAAATAAAATATTACAAATACTATTTTCAAAGTGGAGAGCAGTACAGATTTAAAAGGAGGTAGTGTGGAGCAGAAATGTGCAACATGTTGTTCAGGATTTACAATATTAAAAAGAACAAGATAGTGTTCTCATGATGTGCATACAGTATCTCTGAATTGAGTACACAAGGCAAAGATTATTAAAATGCTTCCACTTTCCACAGTTTCATGAGCAGCAGATCTCCATTATGGTTGCCAGTGGATGCGTCACATCACACAACTCATAACACGACAGCACACACTCAATCCCCCTCTGCAGCACACCACAGACCCCCGCTCTCGCCCCCTTTTCTAAACACAACTTCTAAATCATACACTTAACCTAAATCTACATTCCCTCCCCACATACACGCGGACACTCTCTGACCCCCCCCCCCACCTCTGACTATTGTTTCTGTATGTTGTTCTCTATATTTAATGCATGCTGGACCCTCTCAGTCAGGTCATGGTTGTCCAGAACGCCAGGTATGTGACTTGACCATTTTGATACTTTTGGTTCTGTTTTGAGATTTGGTGGTCATTTTGGTGAAGGTAACAACACATCCAAATTGTTTTCTAACTAATCTGAAGCTTTTGGATACAAATCAGTTCAACTAACTCCCTTAAATTGTGCATTTTCCACTCACCTTAAAGCAAGGAGTTGAATCCCTTAATATTAACATCTTCCCATTTATTTAACATAACATAAATAAACGTATGATCCAAGCTAACTTCTGCGTGTTCCTGGTCTGTCCTTGTTCCCAACCATTGTAATTTGATATCCAAACATTGACCCCTTTAGTTTGTCCTTGTTTTGTGAATAAAACCATCAGTAATGTCCTAAACCGTGCCATGACATCGTCCTGTACCCTTGATGCCCTGCCACATTCAATACACACTCCATTGTTTTCCTATGCAGTCCTTATTCATCCCATTATTTTCCAATATACATGAGATTGTCCTTGTCTCTACCAAACTAACTCTTACAGACTTACTAATATCCTACAATCTTATATTAAACCCTACACACTGCAAAAAAACATCCATTGAACAAGTCATTTATTTTACTCCAGTGGGTCTGATAAAAAAAAAAGAGTTTATCCTCGAAAATAATTAGTCAGTAGAGTCAGATTATGCTTTTGTTTCTTTTGAGGATAAAATTGTGTTACTAGTGGCACCAAACAAGAAAAAGATTCAAGCTCTCTCTACCATACTGGCATACAGTTTCACTTGTTTTAGGACTTCTACATTTTATGAGACTAAATGACTTGATTGACATCAAAATGGACTTTTTTGCAGCGCGCCCTGACATCATACCTGCCTTTCATGCACGTAGGCTCATACATTGTTGTCGTCCGAACAATGTGCATCACCTTCATTCTCTCCCTTCTTCTGTCTACATTGTGCCCGGTGTATTGTGGTGGTTTCACTCTCCTGTAGGGCTCCGGCATGTTTCTGACCGAGTGTGTCTTGTTGTGATGTGTTCCCTCAGTGCTGAAAACAAGAGGAGGTCCAAACACGCAGGCAAGAGTCTCAACCCCGAGTGGAACCAGACTGTCATCTATAAAAACATCCACCTGGAGCAAGTATGTCATCATACCAGTCAATGTTCAGGAAGTCATGGTGCAGAATAAGTTGTAAAAACACAAAATGACACAGCATTTTTGTACTGACTTTATCTTAAATTCAATGTTTTTTTGAAATGCCACAAAGATTATTACTGTATGTGCAAGAATCAAAGATCAAATGCCAAACTCCCATTTGCTAAATATAACATCTCTGCCTCACTGTAGTATGCTTTGTATACCTCAATATTCAGTGAAGGCATAAAAAGAGACCTCACATTAGGCCAAGTTTTATATAAAAATGATAAAATCACATTATCTGTGCTGGCATGCTGACTAGCATTGCGGCCTTTGGTTTGAGTAGAGCAGATGGATATGCCATTGGGATTTAATTAAATCATGTTGGATCCCATTTTAGATTCATTGGACCCATATCAATCACAGTCAATTCTGGACTTCTGCTATCTGTTTTTTTTTTTGCTTCTGAATGTCCAGTCCCACTTTAAGCCCAGATCATATGTTCTTTCTCCAAGGTACATTTTGTCAGCCAGGAAAGCTTTTCATTAACTTTATATGTGTGTGTATCAGCTGAGGAAGAAGACGCTGGAAGTGAGCGTGTGGGACTACGACAAGTGCTCCTCTAATGACTTCTTAGGAGAGGTAAACCTGTTTTCACTCTATCTTCAGTTCATTTTTGCACCATGGTGTAGGCACATGTCCATTAACCTGCCGAGTTTGTTCCCAGGTTCTTATCGACCTGTCCAACACAGTCCAGCTGGACAACGTCCCGCAGTGGCACCCCCTGAAGGAGCAGAGCGAGGGGGACCACCACCGCCGCTCCCACTCAGGACAGAGCCGCCACTCCTCCTCTAAATCCTCCTCCCAGCACTCCTCCCCTAAAACCACCGTCTCCGAACACGACAATCAGGATTCTCCCAAATCATCTGTCATCAAGAGCCGAAGCCACGGGATATTTCCAGATCCGGCCAAGGGTAGGACGCGATGAAATTCCTTCAGCTGCTTGACCTTATCACCCCCTAACAACCGTCTGTACTCCTCTAGTACTGCTACCTCTCTCTGCTTCTACTCTCTTCTTGTCACTTCTTCTCTCGCCTGTCCTCCCACTATCTCTGTATCTACTTTCTGTCCACCTGTTTCTCTCTTGCAGTCTTTTTTTCCACTAGCACCTTCCTATGCCCATTTATGCACACCCATCATAGCTTTAGCTTCATGCTTTTTTGCTTTCCCATGGTCTGTATTCTTGGTTGCCATGATGTCACCCAGCTCAGAGGCCTAGCCTTAGCTCCCCTCTATCTCTCCCTTAACACAGAGAGCAGCATGGCCGTGGAAGGTTTTGAATGCTCCCCTAATTTAGAGAGATAACCATCAAATTTAATGAGGCTGTTTGAAGAGCATAGACTTACAGTTACCATGCTGGGCTACCTTCCCCAGCTACTTATTCACCACAGGTGTGAATAAAAAGTAAACCTCTAACTTCTCTAAAGTAAAAGGTAGTTTTTTTTGGTAATTTGGTGAATCTGGTTGTTTTAGACACGCAGGTGCCAACTCTCGAGAAATCTCACAGTAGCCCTGGCACATCGAAGCCTTCCCCGTCCGAGGGCCAGAGCCAAAGGCACGGACACAGGGAACACTCTCGCTCGCACGGCGCTTCACACTCCAGCAAAAGTGCCACGCGGCACCACCATCAGGACAGCGGCACTGGAAGCGGTGGAGGCGCTGCCATAGCAACAGCCGCTGCCTCGCAGCAGCCACAGCAGCAGCCGCTGCCGCCGCAACGCCTCCAACCAAGTAAACCAAGACGCAAATAAAGCCTACGCAGCATGGCCTCCTCGCACTCATCCACCTTCTGTTATTTTACTTTGTTCCTTCAGTTTCCTTTTCTGTTTTCGGTTTCCCTCACCCTTAACACAAGTCTGGTCCTCTCCCACGTCGTACTCACAGTGTGTCCACCTCTCACCGCTTCTCTGCTGTGTGTACTCACAAGTGTGTGGAGCAAGCACCTCACCTGTACTGTAGCACATCTGACCTTCCTAAGTTTGACCCTTTTTAATTAACCCAAAAAGGCGTAATGGTTGCTAATCGAGGCCAATTCTACCTACTTAAAAAAGTAAACAGGCTAAATCCTTATTTATCTAATGCTCTTTTAAATATAAAAATAAATAGGTTTAAACATTTGTTTTTGTTTTGAAGGGTGATTGAAATACTCTTTAATCTTGACATAGGATGAGCAGAAGCATGACAGTCATAAAAAAAATGAAATCTAAAGTAGATTAGCAGGACATGATCTAAAGGCAAATCTGAGCATTTTGTCGTAGCACAAAGACATCTCAAGCTCCCTCAAAAATACTGAAAAAATGATAGACTTTGTGGGAAAAGTTCAATTATTGGAGTAGAGTTTCCACTTCCAAGAGAGTTTATATCACCACTAACTAAGCAGGGATATATTTTGGATGCATTGATCCAAGGAGTAAAACTGAAGAAAGTCCCAATCCCAGCCCCTCCCCAAACTATCATTAACCTCTTTTGGTAGTCTTTTGTTTGGTTTTGAATTGATCCCTTTCTCTGAACAAACATCAACCAGCTCCTCCACTGAGATGGCTGTGCATGCAGTCCGCTAACCCCCCCCCCCCTTTT